AGCCTATCCGGTTCAGGATCATGTCAGACAAGGTCCACCTAGTTTTTAGTCTACTTTCCTTATTTTGAAAAAAAATACAAATAGTTCAGGGGAGAACTAATCTTCTTTTTTTTTATACAGCATGACGGCACGGAAAACGAAAAATTATGTGGCAGGATACACAGACGCAAAGTCAGGCATACAGACAGCAACGTGATCTCACAAGCCTCCTAAAAACTGAGAGGGACACACAAACATAAGGACAAACAGACAGCAATGTGATCTCATAAGCCTCCTGTGTAGGTGTGCTCGTCTGTGTATCACCTCCAGTTTTTTAGTTTTCTATGCGGTCCATGCCGTATGAAAGGAAAGATGGTGATTATTAGCCCATTTTATTTTGAAAAAATAAAAGGAGACTTACGAGATCACCTTTCTGTCTGTCTGTCTCCGTATCCTTCTGTGTCTGTCCACCTGTCTGTGTATCCCCCCCCCATTTCTGTTAGGAGGCTTATGAGATCACAGAGCTGTCTGTGTATCCCCTTCGTGCCGTATCAAACGAAAGCAGGTGATTAGCCCCTCCAAGGACTTCTTGTCTCAAAGTAAGGAGAGTATGCTAAAAACTAGATGGTCCTTGTGTTACAATAGTAGGTACCGGTCAGGCTGAAGAAAACTTCCTCTCTTTAGAACGATATTCTTACTTCTGCAAAACACGGTTCAGTTTCGTCTCTCGATATACGAATTATGAAACAAAGAGCAGATGAAGCAGAAGCATTTCCACGGGCTAAAACTGGCTAATGAAAAATAAATCCACCCACCATCTGCACATAATGTCCCCATATTAATTCGGCTATTTTAATTACTCCGCTACAAAGAAAGGAATAAAGAGGGGAACCAGTTTTATTAAAGGCGGAAGATTTATGGGAGCAATGAATTTTTAAAGTAAATACTATATGCAGTGGCACAGCGTAGTCGTAGATGGACTACGAAAAATGGATGACGTGATTTCTTTGTATTCCTAAAAGCCTTCCATGCCTACTTCGCCGTCACAATGATTTAACAACGTTGTGTGAAATCGCTTCTACACATTGACTTCAGTCTTAAATGCGACTTTATTAAAATTATTATTTTTTTTTTTTGCAACTGAACCTTGCGATCATAGCCCTTACGTAACATCCTCTCTGACGAGAGGATGGGTTTATCTCTTATGGACAGGCTTCGCTTCGCCTTTGTCAAGTGTACGTACTGCACATATAGCGTGTTATTGGGAATTCTTCCTTTTGCACTATATACAAGACCTCTGCACAGTCCAGGCTTTGCAAAGCAGATCATGTCTGTCTTACTTATGCCACAACGGCAGCTTAGTCACTTGAACGGTAGTAAGATGGACACTGCCAAGTTTAAGCCTCTTATATTTTCTATATCTGGCCTTGCCTTGTCCTATGTTGCAAACATGTTCATTCTCATGATTTTGTATGACTTTTATGGTTACCTGCAAAATTCTGTCATATAATCGTATATATACGGAAGGTTGAAAGCCGTATGGAAAATTTCCAATGGAGCGAAGAACCTTGTTTTGTAGGCGCTGCAATTTAAAGAGGTAGGTTTCTGCCAGGCGGGACAAGCATAAGTCATTACTGATCTCATCAGCGTTTTATGGAAGTTTAGTTTAATGTTGACATTTAAGCGCTCCCTTCTGAACAGAGAGAACATTCTGATACATTTTCTGATGGCCTTGGCTAAAGCCATTTCTGTGTGCAGTCTCCATGCAATCCCCTTATTGAAGATTACACACAGATATTTTACATGACTTTCGAAAGGGATATTCCGTCCATTAAATGTAAGATGAGCCTCAGGCGGCTTAGGTCTATGAGAAAAGCAGATGACCTGAGTCTTGTTTTAATTGATTTTTATGTTCCAGCGCTCACACCACGTCTTAACAGCACTGATACTTCTCTGCAGCTTTCTGAGAACCCAACCCTTTCTGCGGTCTGTCGCATATACATAGGTGTCATCAGCAAAGAGACGTAGATAGACATCATATATATATATATTGTAACCTGGATGGCCAGAGCGTTGCTGGGCAACGGACCGGTAAACATACGCAAATACACGCTGGCAACAGTGGAATAACCAAGTTATGCAAACTCCTTCTAGGCAATGGTTCAGTAAGTAGACTTCAGCGTAGGCGCAATGACGTCACACCGCAACAGTGGTAACTATAGCTTTCTATGGAGTCCGTGCCGCGACCGTTGCTACGCAATCGCTCGGTAAACACGTTCCAGCAATATAAGGTGTTTTCTGCGTGGTCAGTGCGAAAGCTATATAACGACAGTTACAGACATAAAGATGTCTGAAGCAAACCTTGCGTTTTAAATGAAGAAACATATGTTAACCCAAACAGTTTGCATAAAGGTCTTCCAGCAACGCATTCCTTAACAGTGGGGTCAGTGGACAAGTGATTCTACCCAAAGGCATATTAAAGGACAGAACACGTACAACCTGTTAATGCGACCACGTGTATGCAGTGACCAAAATTCGGTGGACCCAATGAGAATAACAGAGATCCCTCTTTAATGAATAGTGCATATAGTGACTGTGTAATGTGGCCAACCCATTGGGTTTACTTAACTCGTGGAAGTGGGGAAAATATGCTGGAAATCTTGAACCAAAATTATTTTATTTGACTCCCTCTCACTTTATTTTCGGAGGAATTGAACTGAATGACAACTTGCTAGAAGTCAAATTTTCGCTCAAACGAAAGTACAGTTATTTTCTACGATACGTCATCACTCTNATTTTGTTGAACAAATGCTTACCGTTATGAAGAAAGCAGTCTTCTGGGATTTGGCACCGTGTATATGTGGTGTTAACCGACGTTTCGGAGGAACGTATCGCCTGGTCTGCTTTTACCGGTTCTCACGGTCTCTTCGCTTGCGGATTTCTTATATTTTTCTTTCTACCTTGAAGATGGAGGCGATACGTTCCTCCGAAACGTCGGTTAACACCACATATACACGGTGCCAAATCCCAGAAGACTGCTTTCTTCATAACGGTAAGCATTTGTTCAACAAAATAGACTTTTCTGTATCCAAGACGCCAGGGAACTGATATGAGGCGAAGTGTTACAGCTTTTGGAAACAGCTACAGAGCTTTCGGAATTAGCAAGACTTGTGTGAACAATATAAAGAAGCGGAAAGTAAACTACCCAGAGAGGATCGAACATGAAAATGACAAGTTCTGCAGAAAAGTAATAAAACCCAGTAACGATATCAATAAAACTATTCTCAACTGGTTCCACAAAATGTGAGCGTTACATGGCCACATTTCGGATCCTATGGAGTCAAGAATCAGCTCTAGGGTTTGCAAAAGAATTTTAAGTTCAAAATTTTCAAGCATCATGAAGACAGTTGGGCAGATTTGGGAAGACAAATTTAATTTAACGAAATCTCAGAGTGGTAAATAAAATGAACTATCTCAAGAGGTGGCGAATTCCTTCTAGGAAAATTTGTGATATTTCAGACTTTCAAGAAAAGACATCTTCAATGTAGACGAGTGTGAGCCCTCTTTCGAATGCTGCCCGATAAGAAACTGGCAATGAAAGGAGACAAACGCAAAGTAGCAGAAGATATACTGAGAAGTTAACAGCTCTATTAGCAACAATTGTTACGGGTGATGAACTACCATCATTTGCGACTGGTAAAGCGACTCAACCAAGATGTTTAAAAATACAGATTTAAACAGACTGCCAGTTATCTGGAGAGCCCACAAATACGCACAGATGATCACTAAAATGTTCTCTGAATATCAACAAAATCACGAAGCAACAAAACAAACCATGTAAAGATAACGGATAAATGCCTGGCTCACACAAAAGTTGAAATCTTTTCAAACATGGAGGAAAAATTTCTTCCGACGAACGCAATTCGGTTTTGAAGGCGTCTGAATAGGACATGGTTTAAAAAACTCATGGAGCTGTACAGGAAGCTTCTGTTAAGTTCCGTAGCCGCAAATTTAGATAATTTACAGTCCATGACTGAATTTTCTAAATCAATAATTTTAGTGTTCTATCATCTTGGATACAGCGATATGTAGCCCGTCGAAAGTCAACCGACATTTCGGAGGTATATGTCGCCTCCATCTTCGGGTAGACCATGAAGATGGAGGCCAGTTTACTTTCAACGGACTACATGGCGTTATATCGCAGAAGATATACCTCTTCATAACCACTGTCGTGAGAACCTCAAATCCGAAATATGTGCTAAATACTACAAGAATTTTAAGAACTGATGACGCATGGAATAAAGGTAATCTAGAATCAGTCATAAATGCTTTGTCAAAGCAGGTTTTGTGGTCGATGGTTTTATATCATAGCAACAAGAAAACACAACTGGAGATCTGGATCTGACATACTCGTAAATTGTCTCTCTGTCAGCATCATTACCAAACTGCAGAGTCATTTCAAGCGAAACTGTTGCATTGGAGAAGGATGTTCCGGTAATTGTTGCCATTAAAGCAGAAGCGATGATCTGCGTATTAAATGAAGTGAATGACAAAAGCACACAGCAAGACAAAGATCAGAAGAAAAATAATAACAAACGAGATATGGTAAGCAGTGCAGAAGCATCTGATATGTTAAGGAAATGTACTTTGTCATAAAAAGCATTGAAATGTTTATATATAGAGAGAGCCAATATACACTGAGTAACTTTTAAATACACAGAATCACAATTCGCATCTATAAATGCATAAAATAATTTTTAAATAAATTACTGACAATTTCTATGAGTCCTTTCTGTATAGTGACCACCTGTCTATAACGACCACTACATTCCAGTTTCGAAAGTGGTCTCTATAGATAGGGTCTACTACATTAGTTCAAATTAAATTCTGAAATGAAAACGTAAAAAAGTTGGTGCGTCTTAGACAATAAAAGCAGCTGCATGTTCTCCACTATTATTTACAGGCTCTGCAATTAGTACCGAGGTTAATTAATATATAATTAGTGATCTTACCTGAAGTAGCCAATAGCATCTCCGATGAAATGTTGGCAATATCGCAGAGTGGACGTAACACCCGTATATACACTGAAACACAAACATACCGTTTGTATGGTTATCCACATATATGAAAGGCTTGGGGAAGAAGAAAAGCATGTCGCTCAATTAAAATACACAGACTAAATTCCATGCTTTAGGCCGCGCCATAGCTCAAGCGGTTAGTCGCTGGATTCCCACAGTGGCAGCCCGGGTTCGATCCCGGGTCTGGTCAAGTAGGATTTGTGGTGGATAAAGTGGCGCTGGGGTAGGTTTTCTCCTAGTACTTCGCTTTCCCCTACCAATCTTCATTCCACCAATTGCTCCACAATCACCCTCACCTATCATCTGGGTCTGGTACAATAGGCCAGAAGTGGCAGCAGTACAAGGGACTTAGTCCCACCCCACTAGCAATAAAATAAAAATAAACTCCGTACTAACAGAAATGCGGGCCTATACGCTCCAACACAGGCATAAGAATCTCTCTGATACGCTCTTACGTACCTATCATAGACAATTCGCAATATTTTTATACTTTCTATTCGTAAACAGTTCTGTGGCATATTCCGCGACGCTGTCAGTATCTAGACCATAAAGCGTCGAATGGTAGGATGACAGACGAATGATGAATTGAAAAGAATTTGGAAGTAAACGGTAGTGGCTTAATGGAGGCACGATCGCGGTGTTTGCCTGTAGTGACTGAAGACAGCCACGAGAAACTTCAGTCAGAGCAGCTGGAGTCCCAGCCGAGATCCATACCGCTACACCAAGAGGCTCGGTGTGTACTTTTTTATTGCTAGTGAGGTGGGACTAAGTCTCTTGTACTGCGGCCACTTCTGGCCTATTGTACCAGCCCCAGATGATAGGTGAGGGTGATTGTGGAGCAAATGGTGGAATGAAGATTGGCAGGGGAAACCGAACTACTTGGAGAAGACCTGCCTCAGCGTCACTTTGTCCACCACAAATCCCACTTGACCAGACCAGGGATCGAACCCGGGCCGCCGCAGTGGGAAGCCAGCGACTAACCGCTTGAGCTATGGCGCGGTCTCGGTTTCTACTTTACTCGTACACTGTACGGGCTCTCGGTAAACTAAGCGCTGTGGTAACGAACCATAAATCAGAATTGGTAAAGACCCACTAGTTCACACACACACAAAAAAAAAAAAGATACGAAATGAGCCGCGATATATATATATATATATAGGCCTGTATAGATACCGACCCATCCATTTTCATATTCTGTCGCCTGAATTAGTGCGACAGGTACGTGCGCACACAAGCATAACATAAGTGGGTTGTAACGTTATTCGTCACTTGAATTCTGTTCGACTTTGTAATATTTGCTGGCCTTGGTGTTCATTTCTTACAGATATATTTATTATAAAGTTAAGCAGTAGTACAGATAATACACAGAAGATACGTAAAACAATTATCGCATTTTCTTTACATGTGCACATGTCATCTAGCTCAAAGCTGTATAACTGGCAGCATGTAGCTCGCATTCGGCCCTCGATCTGATTTCAGAGATCCGCGAAAAAATTCCCTTTAGTCTTCAAAAGACGTTAACGCTTGCTTCCTCTTGTAAAGAACGGAGACAGGAAGTTTGCTAAAAAGTGCTTACTAAATATTTCCATTCATTCTTCAACTGATTTCACACGACACGATGCCTAATAAGTAACAGAGTGTATAGAATTAATACGGTTTCATCACTGTAAGAAATATTAATTGCCTAGCAAATCCTGAGGGGCTGACTTTTAAGCAATGTCTACCTGGTAACATGATATCTAAATGACAACAAGCAGTCAATCTGATTCTTGCTACTATTTTGCTTGCTTTATTCTTCGAAACTGAAAATGGAGGAAGTTTCTTCGAAACATCGTTGGACTTCTATATGGTTACATGGTGCTACGTCACAGCGGCGTCACATTCACATTCACATTCACATTCACATTCACCGCTACGGGAACTTCAAATCCCACTACCAGTGGCTTCTTCACACACACAGAGATCCCACAATTTCTCTGCATTTTCTCCTCATGAGTAATTCAGCAGCCACGACTGACAAAATCAAACTGTACGAGAGTACTAAATGGATTTATATACAATTTCGTACAAGAAATCTAAACGAAAGGTTTTCAGACAATCTTCATTTTTATTTCATACACGTGGACCTAACCCCTGCCTCACACGAAGCAGTTTTCTCAACGACGGCTCAGTATCTGTCTGACTGTCTATAATATAGTTAACTTGCACTCCCTTTCTGGTTCTGTTCAGATCCTCGGATATCGATTGGACCATTAGATCATGTATAAGAAAAATGCAACCTGAAACTTATAAACGACAGTATTAAAACAAAATGGGAAATCTCTTCGTGAGTGCAAACATCAATTCCCGTCCCGTTTCCTAAATTCAATCCTCAACACTTTTCTTTACTTCTTCCTCAAAACATGAATTACTGGACAATGTATTTATTAAAAATTAAACTTCATTTTCATATCCCCCAAACCTGGAACAAACTTTAATAACATTCGGCTTTATATAAAACTGATTCTAGGAGGAGAAGAAGAGGGTCGAGTTACAAATCTGTCTGCCTTCGCTCTTTATTCCACTCTCTGGATCAATAAACGATTCCCCCACTCTTCCCTTCAGATCTGACTCTAAATATCAAGACCGCCCGCCATAGGAGGGATAATATCAATTTGTGACGCAACTCATTATACAACATCCGAAATAGGTCTATCCATAGGAACAGCATTACGACGTCTAGACAAAATAAGAACACGGTTGCCAATCCTGAATTATGGTTTATACTGACACTTCACTCACTGTTTTGGATTATTTGTAATTACATTTGTTCTTAAATCCACGCACATGTGATTCTTATACGAACTGAAAGAATGATACGTAATACATTTTTACAGCCTCCTATCCAACTGATATGGAGACTTTTTCACCGGGTGGAGTGGCCGAAGCGTCAAGCTAACCACCTACCTCCACATCTTCATCATCATGGGAAGCAATTAACATGAAGGCTGTCGCAAAGATTCAGCACAGAAAACCGGTGTACAGCTTAACGTGAAGGCTACTCTTGCTTCAAAATAACCGGGATATTAAAACGAGGGGCTATCTTTACTACGGAAAAATGCACATCATCTGCTGCATTAAAATGGTTTTAGGACTTGTACTGATAGTTGGCAATGTTGAAAACCCTGCTTCACACAGGTAGGTTGCTGTGAACGTGATGATAGGCTGCTTCACATAGGCAGGATCGTGTGAACAGGATGACAGGCTGCTTCACACAGGTAGGTTGCTGTGAACGGGATGATAGGCTGGTTCACACAGGTAGGTTACTGTGAACGGGATTACAGGCTGCTTCACACAGGCAGGATCGTGTGAACGGGACGAAAGGTTGCTTCACACAGGTAGGTTGCTGTGAACGGGATTACAGGCTGCTTCACACAGGTAGGTTGCTGTGAACGGGATAATAGGCTGCTTCACACAGGCAGGATCGTGTGAACTGGATGACAGGCTGCTTCACATAGGCAGGATCGTGTGAACGGGATGACAGACTGCTTCACACAGGTAGGTTGCTGTGAACGGGATGACAGGCTGCTTCACACCGGTAGGTTGCTGTGAACGGGATGATAGGCTAGTTCACACAGGGAGGTTGCTGTGAACGGGACGAGAGACTGCAGAATACAGTTTGCAAGAACACGATATTCCTCCATTACTAAACACCAGAATTCTAATGCTATAAAAACGTCAAATTCAACACCAGATATCTTAGTCTGAAATGAGTTTTTAAGAATCTCCTTACCTCGCGAGTCAATCAAATCATCATTGCCGTATCATCAGCATCAACACAGTCTAGACTACTAAGGATTAGATGGGAGATCAATGCATCACGCCACAGGTGTCCTCGGGGGCCAAAAATAAATAGTGTTGTCAGTGAATCACTATATATCCCCCCTGTGATTCGACAAGATTTCTTCAGTGTCTTCTCACGCCATCCTTCAACAATTTGCGAAATTGTACGTTAATGTTTCCCACAGGGCAACTTGTCCAGAAATGCTCTGAATCCCCTCCCCAAGAACAATGAATGTCGGACCGTGCCACAGCTCTAGCGGTTAGTCGCCGGCTTCCCACCGCGGTGGCCTAGGTTCGACATCAGGTCAGATCATGTGAATTTGTGGTGACCAAAGTGACACTGGGGCAGGTTTTGCATAACTACTTCAGTTTCTCTTATTGTCATTCCAGCATCTGCTTTATATTAGCCAATCATTCCAGCAACTGCTTTATATTAGCCAATCATTCCAGCAACTGCTTTATATTAGCCAATCATCCTATCATCGACACTATATGGGTGTAGTGTCGATACTGAGAGCGTCGTTAAATAACAACATTAAACAGTGATTGTCATACTAGGTTCGTGAATTGCACGGTTCATATCATTCAAAAGTGAAAAATGCCCTTAAAATAAGTCACACCCAGAATAAAATCTTGGTTCTCAAGATTTCTAGGAGAAACATGGTAATCTCCTCCCGAAGCTCGATCAGCTGAGAAGAAATTGACCTTCCGTGTGATACAGGATACTTCCTGGCAGAGAATTTTGAAGGGAAGATCATTTATGGCAAGAGTTCGTGTGACTTTGACGACATGCAATGTGCGGCAGTTGAAACGATGTTCTTCAAGTTAAGGGGCATCGTTATGGAGGCAAACGCACGTTGATAAATAACAGAAATGTGAGGAGCTTCTGCTTTCACCAAGTATGCAAACTGTGATTTGTTCACAAGCATTTTTTTGTGTTCCATCGATGTAAATCATCTCAAGCTTCTATCTTGTCAGCAAAGTCGTAATTGACAAAAGAGCTAGACGCGGCTGAAGAAATGGACCGCCTTTGTGAGGGCTGTAATTGAGCTGCAGAAAAGGCAGCTCTTCTTCACTAGTCACTAAAATAGGCAGATGGCTGCGCTGAGCCACATCCAGCTAGCTGAATGAACGAGGGCGGACTTTCAGTTTCTCTACCAGGTACTGTAAAATATCCGTAGATA